TGGAGAGTGCTGTGCAGCTTTTCGTAGAGTTCGGTGTAGACGCCCTGGGTCGCGGCCGTTCCCAGCACTGCGCCCTTGGTCGCCGGCGATGCTGCGCATACCAGACCAAACAATTCGGCCATATAATAAGAATAAGGAATAAGAATAGTAAGAAAATTAATAAGACATAAATAGTAATAATAGTAATAGTAATAATACAAATATGTGCGCACCGGCGAGGTCGGCGATCATGGCAAAGCCCGAGGCAGTTTCGGGTCTGGACTGGGGTGCCGGCTTGCGCTGGGCGATGTGGCTGAGGAGGGTGATCACCGCGAGCAGGTGTTGCAGGATGCGCAGCCACTGCGAGGTGAGGTGATGTCGCTCCGATTTCTTGCACATGTAGCCGATGATCTGGTGGTGGTGGTGGTGGTGGTGGTGGTGGTGGTGGTGGTGGTGGTGGTGGTGGTGGTGGTGGTCGTTGTTGTGGTTGGCCAGTGAGTACTTCATAGCGGCTGTGTAGAGCGTCGGGTGAGTGTGTACCTGGACGAGGTCGATGTGTACGTCGAGATCAGTGGCAGCCCATGACGACGTGAGCCGTTCGACGATCAGCGGGACGAAGTCGCCAAAGTAGATGGCCATCGGGTTGGGCAGCGCATCAAAGTTCTTCATCCCCTCAGCTGTTAGAAAACAAAATTAATAAAATTAGAAAAATTAGAAAAGAAAGAAAAGGAAAAAAAATGGTTGGCGACATTCACACGAGACAGGGACTGGAGGAGGGTACTGTGGGCGTGGGTCAAGTAGGTGTGCGGCTTGGCGTAGGCCTTGCAGAGGAGCAGCAGCGCGTGGTAGATTCCTCGCACGCCGTCCTCCGGCACCAGCGCGTTCACCCGCTCCAACAGGAGCTGCGCCACCTGCGACAAATTATGCAGCACGTCCCTCCGAATCGCGAACTGTACACGCGTGCGCCAAAAAACGGGGCATCAGCGATCGCACATGGCCGCACGCGACACACACACACACACACACAACGCAGGCGTGGTGGTGGTGTGCACCTTCTTGATGGAGTGGACGGTGCACAGGTGGCGAATGTGGCGTTCGATGAGCGCAGCGTAGGGGTGCGTAGGCCCGGCGGGCGAGTGCAATTGCAGCCTCTCCACGAGCGTCACCACAGCCTCAGCCGCAGCCTTGAGACACGATCAGTTTAAAAAGAAATATATAGAAAATAATCGAAATACTGCAGAACAATTAAATAATCCAATGGAATGTAGGAAAGGCACCTGGCGCACGCGAGCGTCGGGGCTGGCGAGTAGGTCGAGGACCATGTTGAGGCAGCGCCGCTGGAACGACGTCTCCTCGCGAGTGTAGACGAAGACCCGGTTTTCCGTGGCCAGGTCTCGCTCGACCACCTGAAGCGCGCAGTAGTCCACACTCGCCACAAAGGCCAGCGCCTACACACGCAACACAAACCGTTCAATTACGGTTGTACGTGTGTGTGTGTGTGTGGTTTCGTTGATTACCTCGGTCTTGACGAGCCAATAGGTGTCCTCACGGATGCTGTCGATGAGGGTGTAGAGGATCGTGATTGCGCAGCGCGCATACGCCGAGGCGAGGATGTCGTCGAAGCACGTGATGAGCGCGCGGCACACCATTTTGCGCACGTTGGCGGACTCGTCGAGCAGCAGCCGCAGCAGGTAGTCAACGATGAGCGACTGCACGTCGATCACCTCGAGGGCAAGCACCGGCACCGGCACCGACTCCTCCGCGCCCGGACTCGTTGCCGCCGTCGCTTGTGCGGGTGTCGCCGTGGTGTGCGGATTGCGAAGAATGCCAGCGATGAAGCAGGCGATGATGTGGGCGAGGCTGCCGCGGATCAGGGGATCGGAGAAGGTCACCAGCTGCAGCAGCTCCTTCATCGTGTGTTGGTTCTGCGCGTAGGTGGTCTGCGCGACGCCGCTGCCGCCGTTGTCAGCTGCAGCCTCGGCTTCATCGGCCGGTGCCGCCGCGGCGTCGCCCTTGGAGAGATCGTCGACGGCGGTGGCGGCCTCGGCTTCGTCGGTGAGCCGGAAGTAGTCGCAGAAGGTCTGGGTGTAGTGGAGGGCCAGGAAGGACAGGCACTGGAGCACCACCGCGCGCGAGGCCACTCGAACGGGAGGCTTGCGGTTGAGGATCCACGTAAGTCGGCCCAGGATCTCAGGCACTGTCATTTAAAGCCACATAGGTGAGTAAAACAGCACGACACACACCGCACACAACACACTAGCACGACACGCACATGAAGAGAGAGAGAGAGAGAGAGAGAGAAGAAAAGAGAGAGAGAGAGAGAGAGAGAGGGGGTACCGGTCGTGGGGAGATACGAGCTGCGAGTTGAGAACGGCATTGCGCGAGGGACTGTGCGAGGCTGCCAGAATGGCCTGGAGGAGCTCCAACGCGATGCCCATCACGTTCTGGTCGTAATGGACCATACTAAACACCAGCTCGAGTCAACACACAGCACTCAAACGGCACACACGACACACCACACACCACACACACACCACACACACACGGGAGATGCGGTACCATTTGGAGGCCAGGTCGTGTAGGAAGGGCACGTGCGGGAGAATGGGGTTGCGCGGATCCACGACTCGGCTCTTCCACTCCTCGGAGAGGTTGAGCAGCTGCAGCAGGCAGTACAGGATGCCGTACAGGTTGGCCTCCGATATCGGCTGTTTCACTGCACGCATATAAATTTCAGTTTAAAACTTTAAATAATTATAATCATTAATAATAAATAATAACTAATAAGAATAAAATACAACTACCTTCGTTTGAAGCCTTTTCGTCCTCCTTCTCGTGCTCCTTGCGGGAGTCGTCGCCCTTTTCCTCTTCGTCCATGTTGATGTCGTCGTCGTCCTTGTTGTCCTTGTCGTCCATGAACGACATCGCCCGATTCTGCGCCGCCGAATCCTTGCGCGGCGACGTGATCGCCGGCGCAGCGCGCGCCACCTTGGGCGAGCCCGCGGGCGTCGACACCTTAACAAATGTTATCGCACACGTGAGCTACCACAAAAAAAGCGTTTGATGTGTCGTGTCGTGTCGTGTCGTTGGTCGTGTCGTGTCGTGTCGTTGGTCGTGTCGTGTCGTGTCGTACCTGATGGTCGGGTTTGGTTGCGGGGATGATGTAGGACTGGAGCTGCTTGCGAATGGTGTAGATGGCAAAGTCGAACGGCGACTTGGGATAGTGGCGGCAGATGACCACAATCGAAGCCGCCGATGCGCGCCGAATCGCTCCTGCGTGGTTGACGTGCGAGAAAAGAAGAGGCCACACACGACGCACACGATACAAACGGGGAAGATGAATCGTGTCCATGAAGAAATGTGTGCGGCTGGCACACGCGCGCGTGATGCGTACCAGACACGTCGGCGAGGTTGCGGACCAGGAGTTCGATGATGTTGTTGACCTCCTTCTCGCGCAGATAGTAGTACCAGCGTGCAG